GTTTAAACTTCAAAGCTACGTTGTGTAATAATTACCAGGATTTACATTATCCTGTAAAAGGATAATTTATGAGTGTGCGCTGGACCCGGGTCCCTTGCGCCCCTGACATGGGGGCGCAGTGGTGGCCGAGGCCCGAGACGTCGCAGCGGGAAGCATCCAGGCTGAGAGGGGATGCACTCCGAGGTCCATATTTACATAGGAGCAGGTCTCGATTTATGAACGCAGGCATTTTTGCTCTAAGGAAGTTCAGACCTGACAAACTAGTGACTGTTGAGATCACTATTACACTCGAATGTGACAGTGGCCCATATAAAATCAATGCACTACACAGATTATCTGTGTTAACCAACCTTTTCCTTACCTGACAAGATGTGATGCAGACATTGCCCAAACCATTTTGTCCCATGATGGCATCCATATTGATGTAGGGGGAGAAATGGTGGGGGTAGCATATGCTGTGGTCTGCAGTCTGACCATTAGATGTTACTGAAAATGACACACTATAGCTTTCAAGTCAAGTTCTTTCTGTTTAGAGCATACAAGATTTCATTCATTCTCTAATTGTCTTATTTCACGTTTGTTACATTTCTTATGATAGGAGCTAAACCAGGTAAAATTGCCTCTCAAGAGTCCCTTAATAGCTGCCAATACAAACGTAGGATTGGACACACTACTTAAATCTATATTGATACAGTTCTATAGTTTGGGTCTTAATAGTTTGAGAGAGTCTTTGTTTTGTAAAAGATTAACCTTGAACCTCTATCTATTGTGGGTGATAATCGGATTATGATCTGATAGGCTCAGGGAAATTTCGGCGGATTGAAAATATTGAACCATTTTTTCTGATGTTAGGATATAGTCAGTTCTTGCTGCATAGAACGGAGGTCTTCAACAGGGGGTCCGCGACCCCTAGGGGGTCCATGGAGGTACAACAAGGGGGTCGCGAAAATTTTGTTGATTAGAATTTTATTTGTATGAATTCAACACACTGTAGTAAACAGATAAATGGAGGCAGAAGATGTCTTCCAGGTATCAATGCACATGTTCAGCGACACACAGGAGCTTTTTCAAGCTGGGCACAGTTTCATTCACAACACCTGTCCCATCAACCAGGAATCAAAATCAGAAATACTTTAATAATCACAGGGAGAAATTACTTTTGTTACATGACTCCATATGTAATAGAGGGACTATAGGACCAGTTTACCCACTCCATCTTACCAACAGTTTGGGGGTCCTCGGCCTGGAAAACATTGAAGACCCCTGGAATTGAATATAAATGCATTAGTCTTAGCGTTTAACATTTTCCAAACACCTTAAGTTTAGATTTTTGATGCTGCTTAAGGCTCCGGATTGGAGATATGGAAGGACGCAATCTATCCATGTTTTGGTTCATATCAGCTTCAGTACTTACAGTAGACCTGTGGGACCTGTCTTAACCCTGCCACAGGAGACCTTTACAGAGCATACACTGTCATTTTCTGCCAGAAAAAGGTTATTTCAGAGAAAAACAGCTGCAGAAAAAATGAACCCATTGAATGAATTTGCTTCCTGTCCAAAGGAATCCAATGACTATTTAATTTTCACTTTGCATGGCTGCATTTTGATCTTCAGATTAAAAGTGGGAACTGTTTTGTATGTTTTGTATAGTCATGAGATAAAACACATGGATGCATTCAGAGCATTGGTTGAACAAAAATTCAGAAGTGCAAACAGTGTTTACAGGTAAGCTGAGAAATTCTGGTACTCCACAACCAGGGGAGGAACTTCAAAGGATCTCCTGGACCTCCTTGCATCACCAGTATATAAAGCTCTGTACCCACATCACTGTCTCTGTTCCCATGGACAGCTCCCAAGCGAGCCACATGCGAGAGATATGCCTCAATGTCTGTCCCTGCTCGATAGGGGACCACATTCTTTAAACTCTAGTAAAAGGTTGAGTACAACCGCTTAAATAATCAAATAGAGCAGGACAGGCTATGTGTTCCTTTCTCTGTGAGTTTTATAGGCAACATCTGGAACCAGAGACCTCCACAGGATAAAGCAGCTCCTTGAGGCCTCAATGCGGTCACAAACAGTGTACCAGAGCTTAGGCATGTTAAGCATTTTTTAAAGCACTGGGGACCCCTCGTCACACTCAGAAGACAGATAACCAGAGACCAAGTCTAGCGATGACAGGGAAATTTCTGATAGTTCACTGTATTTCACTGTGTTTTGAAAGCTAAAAAAATAGCTAATAGTGACTGAATTTATAAAGTTATGACAAACATAGCTAACAACACAGTAAAACCTCCACCTCTGCAGTCCACTGTCTAAAGCAATGATTTTCAAACTCTGTCATTGGGACCTACTGTCTTGCATGTTTTATGTGTCTCTGCTCCAGCACTCCTGCATCAAGTGATGGCACTCCCTCTTCAGCAGCCACTATGGGCTGCATCCATCCATTATCTGGCATGCTTTATCCCAAGTGGGGTCGTGAGGGATGTTGGTGCCTATCTCCAGCTGTCTATGGGCAAGAGGCGGGGTACACCCTGGACAGGGGTCCATCACAGGGCAACACAGAGACAAACAACCATTCATTCACACACACACACACACACACACACTCAAGGAGAATTTAGAGAAGCCAATTAACCTATGAGTCATATTTTTTGACTCTGGGAGGAAGCCGGAGTACCCGGAGAGAACCCATGCTCAGGGAGAACATGCAAACTTCCTGCACCCCGGGCCAGGAATTGAACCTTCTTGCTGCAAGGCAGCAGTGCTACCCATTGCGCCACTCAGCTGGGCTGCATGGAGTCGCTAATCAACCATTTTAGGTATTTAGAGGCAGAGAAATACCTAAAACATGAATGACAGTGGGGCCCGAGGACAGAATTGGAAAACCACTGGTCTAGAGCATCTAGCATCTAACCTTTCTTTGCCTTTTTCTGCTATATGTGCATAGTAGTTATTAGTTTTAGTTTATTTTAGCTGATCTAGTTAAGGGTTTATAAATGTCTGAAATTAGTTTGACCTCAAGTTATCGTTCTTTATACATTTCTATATTTCAATGGAAGCTGTAGTTATTTTTTTTTCTCCATGTGTTCAGAGTTAACTATTTAATCCTGATTTAAACTCTATCTGTTGTGTCCTAACACACAGCCGGTTGGGCTGTCTCCTACAACCAGTGTTTCTCTAAATGATGCATCTGCAGAAAATAGCATTAGAAGCAAAATCTGCAGTGGGACTATGCTAAAACAATATCATCTGTTATTATCTCTTAAAATGGCAGGCTAAAAAACAAATGTAATTTGGCTGAATAGATGTAAAAGTGATGTAGACGCATTCACCTTATTTGTGAAATGCTGAGTTAATGTAGACGTGATAAAAAGCTATTCACATAACTAACAAACTTGCCATAAGGCTAATGGGTGAAGTTTCTGATAGATTCAGTCTCCTGGGTTGGCAAAACCGGACATTTAGTGAGTGAATAACCTGGTGATGCTTCGTCCTTTACAGTCTTTAAAGAATAAGGAGGAATATTTTATTGAAGTGGTGCAACAGTAGTTTAAGACGGAGGTCTTCAACAGGGGGTTCTGCATGGAGGTCGCGAAAATTTGGTTGGTTGAATCCCAAGTGGGGTCGGGAAGGGTGCTGGTACCTATCTCCAGCTGACTACGGGCAAGAGGTGGGGTACACCCTAAACAGGTCGCCAGGTCAAACAAACAGGACAAACAACTATTCACAAACACACTCACACCTAAGGAGAATTTAGAGAAGCCAATTTAGAGAAACCTAACAGTCATGTTTTTAGACTGTGGGAGGAAGCTGGAGTTCCCGGAGAGAACCCACGCATGCTCAGGAAGAACATCCAAACTTCATGCAGAAAGACCCCAGGCCAGGAATCAAACCTAGAACCTTCTTGCTGCAAGGCAGCAGTGCTACCCACTGTGCCCGCAATTTTTTTCCATTAATTGAAATGTCTTTAAATCCACATTAACATGAATTCAACAAGCTGTAGTAAACAGATAAATGGAGGCAGAAGATGTCTTTCAGTCGTCAAGGAACACATTCAGCGACACACAGGAGCTCTTTCAAGCTGGGCACTGTTTCATTCACAACACCTGTCCCATCAACCAGGAATCAGAATCAGAAATACTTTAATAATCCCACTTTCGTTACATTACTCCATCTGTAATAGAGCGACTATAGGACCAGTTTGATAAAACAATATATATAAAATAAGGGGGTCCCTGCTCCATCTCGCCTTCAGTTTGGGGGTCCTTGGCCTGGAAAACCCCTGGTTTAAGACATCAGCTTCACTGCATCCGATTCACTGCAAACTTTTAGCATTGTCCTTCTTTTCTCTTCATTTATGTTTATCTATTAGTTCTTCTAACTACCCATCAACTATTTGTATTTATATTTGTCCATTCATACTTACACTTATATATAAACACATATTATCCATCAAATTATTCATCCTTACAGTTATTTTAATATGTATTTATATTTCTCCACTGGTCTGACATCCCTCTCTTCTATGTACCTCTGTAAAAGTAGTAAAAAGTAAACTATTGGGATTAAATTTAAGGCTTGGTCAATAATGACAGTTTGTAATAAAAAAAGGCACTTAATTTGGGTTAAAATTGTAGGATCTCAGCAGCACTATCCATGTGTTGTAGAACACTGAGCTGTTGCTTAAAAACTAGAGTCAAACAAATATATTACTGAATGGAAAGAATCGTTTACGTTTATATAAAAATAAAAACCTGACAAAAACGTTCATATAAACTAACATATTGATTTTAGAAATGAAAAAAGACAAAGAAATAGTCTGCCCTGTATTCTAATCATTGGGATTACGTGAGGGGGGCGTGGTCCAGGACGACTCACCGTACTTAACGCTCATTGGTCAACAAAAACCACGTGACACAAGTGAACCAATCACAGCAAAATGCGATGAGTAAAGCTCCATCGAAGACGTAAATCCGTGAGCGTGAATATGTATCGCTAACGGGCTCTTTGTGGACTGCGCCGTGTTATGAACAGCTGGTGTTGTTGCGGCCGGTAGTAAAAGCGGAGTATCTGCGACCTGCGGCTCTCCTGGCGGATGGTTTCCCTCAGAGAGGCTGAGTGGAGCTCCGGGGCGGCAGGAAAAAGACTGGATCCTCTGCCGGTTACATAACCAGGCTGATCGATTACACAAAAGCAGGGATATTAACGGACTGTGCCCCCCGGACAGGTCGCAGTGCAAACCCCTCTCTGTTCTTAGTAAGTAATACCTCATAAACACAAGAAGCATTAGCAGCTCATAAGTTCAGTTGATTTCCTTTCGATCCGAGTTGATTCTGTTCGCAGGTAAAGAAGTTTGTAAACATGTTGGAATAATGTTGTTTAATGAGGTCAGTGAGCTGTTTGTTTATCGATCTATCTCCAGATGTTTCCTTCACTTTAACAGTTACTGAACAGTGACTTTCTCTTTCCTTAACTAGTCCTTTAATAACTCCACTGTGTCCCACAGCCTTGCAAACCTTTAAAGGGTTTCACGTTCATTTAGTATTTTAATCAAATACTTCAGTGTTTTGGCTGTTAGTCATTTGCAGCCTGCAACAGGTTTTCTTCCTGGAATACAGAAGATAAAAAAAAATAAAAATACAGAGGGTATTTAAAAAATAAAATAAAAAAATCCCTAGGCATGATGGTGCCACCACTATGTACCAAAGTGCAGATGGTGTTTTCAGAATGAGATGCAATATTGGACAACATTTAATGTCATTTTGCATACACAGAGTGTAGTGATTTCCATTTTCTTAAAGTGCAGCAGAGATCAAATGTAAACATTGTGGGAGAAAAAACATGGTGCAAATAAAAAGTGCATTGATTTGGTCAGTTTGAAGCAATGTCTGTTACATCATTAAAGGGGAACATGGTGCTTTAAGTATTTCTTTTTAAACATGAATGTAAATGTAATGCCATAATGGTCTACACTATTATAACTAAGATTGTTTGCTTAAAATGTGTATAAGAGATGTTAAATGGCATCCTTCACAATTATGTTAAGAAGGTTAAAAGACCACTGCTTAAGAAGCTGGCTGTGCCGAGTGCAATATTTGATCATGGTTGTGGAAAGTTGAGTGGAAGAAAAAAATGCATTTGAAAAAAGGCTGGCAAGCAGCAGGAGTGACCACAACTTTACAAAGTGTGTGAGACGAAGCCCGATTCAAATGATTTTATCCAGGAAATAAGATGAAAGAGAAGCCTGACTTCAGCTAAACGGGAGGAATAACTGGACTCTTGGTCAACTGTTAAGATTTCACATGTAGTTCTGATGTTATTATGGGAAGAAAATCCAGGTTTTCAATTATTTTATCAACATATCAAAAAGAAAACTGATTTTAATCTTAATCCCTGGCTGATCATGAATTAAACGTGAAAGCTTAACCTAATACAGGCATCATTTCAGCCTTCTTTTCTTGGATGTTTCCTTTAAACCTTTGGCAAATTTTCTGTGATGAATGTCCTACACCAGGCTCCACACTATATTACAAGTATTCATCAAAATTATGAATACAGTAAAGGACTCATATTATGCACGTCTATTCAGACTATTGAATATAGCTTCCTTGTGATATCCTAAAATAGTAATAGAAAGTAGAAAGCCTATAAAACGTTTCTTCATTGTCCTATAAAACCTGCCAACAAGAACTCTTGATGATTTAACTTCTGCAGCCAATGAATCCTCCATTTCCTTTCTGACTAATTGAACTTCTGTTCCTATTAGATCAGACTATCCCAGTGGTCGCTATGAATGTGGGCACGGCGCACAGTGAGGTGAACCCCAACACCCGGGTGATGAACAGCAGGGGGATCTGGCTGTCTTACATCCTGGGCATCGGCTTGCTTCACATCATCCTGCTCAGCATCCCATTCGTTAGCGTCCCCATCGTCTGGACCCTCACCAACCTCATCCACAATCTGGTGAGCAGAGCAGAGCGCCACCTAGCTTTAACATTTTCAGAGTGGGTGGGATCTGTAAAGGATGGATTCAGGGTGGTGCTGAATCCACTTTATGAACAGTGATGGGAGTAAGGGCGTTTTTTAGTAACAAGTAATCAAATTACTTTGACTGTAACTTTAAGGCAGTTACCATTGCCGACACCCCGTTACTGCACGTTACTCAGGTCGCACAGTTAACCTTTTTTCATGATAGGACTCACCCTCACTCTCCATCCTCCCCTCTCTCATGACAAGGATGCGCGCCTTGTCATGAGAGAGGGGAGGATGAAGAGTGAGGATGACTCCAGCGACAAAACAGCATTTTCCACATGGAAATACCGGTGTTACGTCGAGCTGCGTTTCCCCATCAGATACGGTTTCCCCTGCGTCTCCGCACTGCGCAGGCGGCACGATTCACCGCGTAAGCGACATGAAACGCGCATGCTCGCTAAAGGCGCGTAACAGCCGACCTGTGCTCGTACCACAGGGGAACTACGGAGAGCGTGAATGTTAGCCTATATGGAGAAAGGGAGAAATATGGATGGATGGATGGATGGATGGATGGATGGATGGATGGATGGATGGATGGATGGATGGATGGATGGATGGATG